CTTATCTAGACTCTTTTAGACAGGGTTCCTTGACACCTCTAAAAAGCAGTTACTCCGTGTTCTTCACTAAATTGCCTACATGCAACTGCTTTGTTCATGTGCAGAGGGCATCTGTATCATATGCACTGTATCATATGGCTTCAGTAAATCACATTTTAAGAATGCACAAATTACTGCTTAAACACGATTTACCTCTCTGAGACTGTGATAGAATTCAACACAAACCAAAAGCCCAGCAAAAGTCTATAACTGGTAAGAAGACAAGATAATGAATGTAAAAATTATTTCAGGAAAGGAAAGTACATTTTTACACCTTAAGTACATTTTACATCCAGGTTTTCTAAAGCCCAACAGCTATCAGAAAGTAGGACTTGGATTTTGGGGATGGAAAAGAAAAGGAGAGATGTTTCAGCTATCATGTAAGTTTAGTTATGAATATAAGGTGCTGGCAGCCAGTGGGAGCCTGCAAGTGAAATCAGAAGGGCAAGAGCAAAGAAATATGCAGAGTGCACAGAGAAAGCAAGAGGAAGGCAAGTGCAGGATAGTGAGGGAGGTTTGGAAAGATTATTTTTCTGTGGAAAAGGCCTTTGAAGGTGATAGTAGAAGTTTTAACATAGGAAAGCTGAAGGTTCTGGTGTGCATCCTGGAGAAAGAAGAGTTTGTAATTTGATATGTCTCTCTCTAGTAAAAAAAATCTGAGAAAACAGGTGTGTGGAACTGAAATACTGAAGCAAGAGGGTGGTGAGGTTCAAGCTTTTCATACAGAAGAAGTGGATCTCTGGATCTGGGAAGCATGGTGATTGCATTGAATGGCCTTGGTTTGGGGAAGGAACTGGATACTTTGGGAACTTGAGTTTCACTGGAGAGCTTAAGACTGAGTTAGAGTTTGGGGCACAAGAAGTCAATGGGATATGCCTGCAGTCATTCACACAGAATAAGTGCTATTCTCTCATAAACCTCTTTGGCAATATATGATTTTTCTTTCTTGGAAATACAAATCTCACAGCTCATTTTAACTAGCAAATTTTGCAATTTAGCTATTACGTTAGCATAACCAGAATATAATGCCTCTTGATGTGCATATGGGAGAAAGCTGGTATTTATGCAAAAAGTTTGGGATTATACCTAATTTGTGAAAGCATGAAAGCAACCTGTATACTTGAAAAATTATAGAATACTTGGAAATTTTATTTTCTTCCATGCTGTCATCAAGTCTGCAGGTGACAACAAATTGTCAGACTCAGTGGTGGGGCTGCTATTCAGAGAGAATAAGAAGTTGGAGAAATGCAGGTGCTTCATCAGACAAAGACCCTTTTTCCAGGCACCTAAAAAAAAAAGACAGACCTAAGTAGGAGATGGAAAATACAGTGTGAAAGAGTGCATAGCGAGCCAAATTGAGACCTTGTTGGAATGCCACAGTGGCCTGTGTAGTTCAGAACATTCATAAGTGATTTGGGAAATTTGTCAAATGTAATAACATATTTACAGCTGGTAAAATTGATAGTGATTGATTAGTGATATTCACTTCAGTGATGATAGTAAATATGAACTTGACAGCTAACAGTTCGTTTGATCAGTGACCTAGAGGAGGCAACAGAATACATTTTCATCAGGCCTGCCGAGAACAGCAAAGTTAAAGACAGATTGATACATTCAGCACAGGGCTACCATTCAGATATACCTAGACAAGCTGGAGAAATGTTCTGGAAGGACTCTGAAGTTTAACAAGGACAGATACTGAGACCTGCATCTGGGAAGAAAGAGCCCCTGGCAATGAGAGCAGTTGGGCACAGAAAACCTGGGGACAGATCTCTGTAAAGAGCCTGGGCATCCCGATGGAGAGCAAGCTGGGTGTGAGCTAGAAGTGTGCCCTGGCAGTGAAGAAGGCCAGCAGCATCCTGGGCTTTGTGAACAGGGGTATGATGTATGAAAACCTGTAGATGAAGCTTTTATCCCCTACTGCTCAGCACACCACATCTAAAATCCTGCAGTTTTGCCTTCCTCTCCTGTATGGGGAAGCTGACAGTAGACTGGAGCAGGGTTAGCAGAGCGGCCCGGGTTTAACTGGGATGCTCAGAGGCCTGGAGAACCTGACCGGGAAGAGGAGGCTGTGGGAACTGGCGTCTTCAGTCTGGGGAAGGGGAGGCTTTGGAGAGGATCTCCAGGCAGCCTTATCATACCTATAAGGAGACCACCAAGAGGACAGACAAGCTGTTCATAGTGATGCGTGGAAAGAGGATGAGCATTAAGATATGAAAAGTTCAGATTGCGGGTAAGGAAAACACTTTTAGTATGAGGACAGCCAGGTGCTGGAGTAGGTGCCCACAGAGGCATTATGCATCTCCATAATGTATCATATTCACTGTGGTGTGCTGTAAATTAGCTGTTGTCATTTAAAAAAAGACATTTGGATAATACGGGGATTAATTTTCTGAAAACGTTTAATGCACAGCCACAGTAAAAGGCAAGCAGGAATTATTAAAATTATAACAAAATGGAAAATACTATGTCATTGTGTAGATCTGTGGTGATCCCACAACTCAAATTTTACATATAATTTTAGATTACATTATATCAGAGAAAGATAAAGCAGGGTGAAGCATAATGTGGAAAGGATAGTCTGAAGTATAGAAGCTTTTTCCATACAAAGGAAACTCAGAAGTTCTTTTGTTTGGAAAGCATATTAGAGAAGACAGATACAAGAGGTCTGTAAAATAATGAATGGCATAAAGATGTTTTAGGAAAGATTATTCACTGTCTCTCACAGGCATTCTTGCATTAGCAATTATATCAGCCATAATAGAGCACAAAAATTGATGTTGTGAGGTCAGATGTCCACATTTGCATGTCAGGCAATTTGCAGTCCCAAGGGCTAAATGCCCATTAGTGGTTGAAGCATATTACTGTAACACTTCTGAGCTCTAAGAGCTCATCTTCTGTTTCTAGTTTTACCTGAAAGGAAAACAATTTATTTACTCCAAAACTACTCCACCAAGGGACAAAAAGTGCAGTAAATTGAGTCAACGTGAGATCTGGTTCAAAAACATGCAGACATACATGTAATGCTGTTTTAACACATTGTTCTGAAAACCGCTTCCAAAGATCTAGAGCACTAAGCAGCCAGGTGATACAAGAGTACATATGGAAAGGTCTCAGTCTGTACTTACAATTTTTTTCTCACAATCTTTCAATAACTCTGTTTTATCTACTGCAGAAAGAAGAGTCTGTTCCAAAATTATGTACTTTGGTATGTCTGATAACCTCAGAACACTGGTTCATATGTAATTTAATTTTACATGAGCACTTATAATGTAAATTGTTATTGTAGCTTGCACATTATTCATTTGAGGACAGTTTAGAGTAAAAGGTATCTGATACCTTCTATTTTCGAGTCTTTCTAAAAAGTAGGTCAATTTATAAAATAGGGAGAATATTTTAATTTTTTTGTAGTTTTGTTTTGTATTTTGCTAGTACTTCAACAGAAGGTTGCAAAGTGCAACACATGTGTCTACTGATGCTGTAGTGAAAATCCTTTTTGGTTTGCACTATTTGGTGCATAAAGAAGTGTGATTTGCACACAACATTATTTTTGTTATCTAGTAACAGGTTCCCACTAACAGTCTGCCAGACTTTTCTGGCAATGTGCATGCATATTCATGTGATTTGAGTAGAAGTTCTTGTTTGGAGTATAGCAACACAGGCATGTGCAAGAAAGTTAAATAAAATACATTTTTTCACAAATACATGCCTGTGCACAAATCATTTGGGGACTGAAATCATGTATGATAGATTTTTTTTTAAGAAGTAGAAAATACATTAGAAGGCGTTGGATGCTTCCTCAAGTCTTCTGTTTCATAATTCAAACCCCTACTCCATGTTGCTGTTTAGTTTTTTAGGAACTGTACAGTTCTCAGCTGTCATCTGCAGATAGCTAAGAAACGTGGTTTGTTTCCACTCTAGCTGGAGATACAGACATCTGAAGGTATTTTTCTTGTCAGAACTTATTAAAGAATACAGAATGCATTATAAAAATTGCTCATTACATGAAAACAGAACAGAAATCTAGAGTACAACTGTCTTTTATCGGAATGGGACAGCTTTTCTGCCTTTGCACCACAGTTCCCAGGCTCTTTTTAGTGCCACAGCCTACTGACACAGCTGCACAGACTCCTCTCTAACCTCACGTCTTGACATAGGGAAGAGCTATGCTTTTACAGTACCTCTCTTGCTGCATGGAGAAGTCTGGGAAACAAAGAGGACAGACCTTTTGGCAGGACTCTGCACTCGGGCCATCTTGGAGTCACAGGGTTTTTACTTCCACTTGACTTGTTTGCATCTGCCTACATATTTTTAAGGTGTTATCAGCATACAAACAGTGATTTAAAAATTGAATTTAACCTGGTGTGCATTATTCATCATATTAAAGCAAGCACAATTTATTTAGAAGACAGTTTTGAAAAAGAATCTCAGATTCTACAAATAGGAATTCAAATGTGATTCAGCTGTTGAACTATGTATGTACAAATTTGGATATGTTTTGATTACTGAAGAATTCAGATGAGTAGAACTAGGGAACCCAGCTTAACTAATTACTGAAGAGATTCATTACAGTATATGGAGCCTTTCACTTCTAGATTGGAGTCCAACTCAGTGAAAGAAGGCACCAAATGCAAGGTATTCATAGATCTGGATAACATAAGCAGATAGCATTACTTTATTATGGTAGAGAATTCCAAATCCAAACAAACAAACATTTTATTTTCTGAACATGGAACACAGAGTTACTTTATAAGTAACACAGTGTTACTCTTTAAATGTTACAAAATCAATTCCACAGATAGCTTCTTGTCCAACAAAGTGATGAAATAGCAGTGAGGTGTGAGATTTCCTGCTTCTATTTGTCTATTTGATAACTGCAGGAAAGAGTGTTAATTTTTTTTTTTTTGCTAGTCAATCTGGTTCCTTTTAAAAAGGTTGTTATCGCCTAGTCTGTTTTTCAGCAGGTTTTCGAAGGCACTCAAATACTGTAACAAGGAGGCATTTCCCACATGCTGCTCACAGGATGGACTATATGGACTTTGAGGATGATAGCCGTGGATGGCGGTTTGATATGGACTTGGTCATCATCTACATTTATTCAGTCAACTGGATAATAGGATTTATTGTTTTCTGTTTCCTTTGTTATTTCTTTTTCCCTCTTTAGGCTGTAGAAATAACAGTTTAGGAACATGACAGTCATGTGAACCAAAAAATTGTGAATAGATAAATATTGAAAAAGGTAAGATACTGCATTTTTATCATTCAGAATTGGAATAGACTGCATCAAGCATGCTGTGAAGCTGTTTGATACTTCTGCTATATGTGGCAAAGTACTTGAGTTTGGTTACAAATGTAATGTGAAATCCACATCATACTTCATTCAGTGGGAGTTCTGCCTTTTGGGAGATTTTGATAGGAAAAGAATTTACCCCTAATTTATAAAATTATTACTCTGTAGAAGTACTCCCAGGTTTTAGGGGATGTCTGCATACTACAAAAGAATGTCATCTACAGAGTCATGTAGGGGTTTAACTCTGTGTTGACACACTTTGCTCACTCATTGGTGCTTCAATTCCTCATACATAAAAGCAGTAAAGATGCTTCCCATTTTTACTCAGACCTTTTGGGAGCAGGAGCAGTGCTGTACTATGCATTATATAGACATTAATCATATTTCAGTGGCATGATCCAAATCCTGGGAAATTTTGACAACTGATAGACCTGTCAGCATTCCACTGTGGATATTTTGAGCCTATTAACCAAAAAGAAAAATTGTACTGCAGTGTGCTGACAGTTAATCTTTTCAGCAAATAGGAATCAAAAGGAATCAACTAACAACCACAAGTTATGCACAATAAGAGGACCATTTTTGTGTAGATTGCCAGTGCAGCACTGTACCTTTTTTACCCATTCAGATGAGTGTGTTTGGATCTAGCAAGACAGCTGCTGGAGGGCAAGCAGCAGGCCTTCCAGCTATGATGCTGAGACACTGACCCAAATAAAAACTGGAGACAGAAGCATTCTCCAGTGTAAGAAATCAGTATCAGTATTAAATTGCTGTAATCATTGAGGATACTTTTAAATGTGAGCTCTCCAGGACTTTATGTCTCGGGGGAGAGTACATAAGAGGGCACAGTATTTATTTGCTCCTTTCTTGTGAAATGATTCTAAAGCACTTTATAGTTATTCTATATATAGATTGATGAGTTACCGTATCAAACTGCACCCAAATCAACAATCATTCCAGACTTGCTGCTTTACACAATATTTTGAAGTGAAAGAGCATCTATTAAATTACAGTAAAAGATACTAGAAACAAATGTGGGAATCAGGTGCTGAAGAATGGCACAAGGTAGTTTAGGGCTTTACTTTTCAGGAAGGTACAAGGAAGTTTTTATTTCTAGTGGCATGACTCTTCAAAGTACACTGTACTTTCATCTAGAAAAGCATGTGAGTGTAGGTATATTGTCCCTCTAGTATCAGAATTTGTGTGGGAGACCTGTGGTTTTTCAGTAGGTGGTGTACTCCCCTGTTCTAGCAGAGAACAAGGAGAAATGTGTTGTGGAAGGTGCCATCTGCCAAATGTGATGGAATGAAATCAGAGTTTTTTAAGCATGAGCTTATATTCCTTTACTGGAGCAGCTCCAGCTTGGTCAGTGTCTTACAGGCTATGAAGGAATCAGGACCAGAAACTTTCACCTAATCTGAAAAGCAGCAGTAAATCAACTACTAATATTAAGTTTTCTTACAGACTGCATAAAACAATCTTTTCAAGAACATATGAGTAGAATTAAAAATTACGAGTATAATTACATTGATTTGACTAATTAATCTTTGCCATCTTTTTTAATATATGCAAATTTAAAGAGATATAAGAACTGAAATTCATCATCACCACATAGTCATGGTTTTGACAAAAATGCATTTGTGTAATGATAATAATCTACTTAGTTACTTTGTCTCTGCCTGAAAGTGACTAGCTCTATTATTAATGGCATTAAGCATAATGTTTTAAAAGCTTTAAGACTGTAATAAAACATTTGATGGAAGTATTTTAAAAGCTAGGGGGTGTAAGTCATAGGCTCGTGTTTGGCTACATACAGATGTGTGGGTGTATATGCTAAAATATTATCTGTAACTTTAAACAATTCTCTCATATATGCCAGGACTGGCATTCTAACTGCAATTTTTGTTTGCCTCTCTAAACTTATGAAATTACTGCTCATATGTCAGAAAAGAGAGGGACCAACTCACCTCTTAAGACCAATTTGCTTCTACCATTTGATCTCAAAAAAATCTAAAATAAAAAAAAGTCATGAAAAATTATGACAGTCTAAAATTCTAGTAATAATGTTATTTAATTTTTTTTAACCAGGATGTCTGATAAAGCAATATCCTTCAGTAAATATTCAAAAATATATTGAGACAAGTAGTACAGAAGCTAACTAGTTATATAAGAAAAAGTTACATCATTTTTAATAGCATGTTACCATGGTTTTATTTGAAAAAGGGCCACAAAGAAGAGTAAAACTCCAATCTAATATTGGCCTCTTTTGTACATTTTCGACAAGAATTGATGACTGAGAGTGGCTACATTTATCTAAAGTTAGCAGGTCTCACAATTCTGCAAGACATTTCTAATTGTTTAGCTCTACCTTTCTTCAAGGCCTAAACTGTTTCTTGAGCAATATTGTTTTACTGTATATGGGTTGCTATTAATTCCAGAGGAAGACTATTTTTAAATTATTGGACGTGTACATAATGAAGACTACTCCAACTCTGAGAGACACTCCATAGGAAAACACCTAAAAAGCTATAGAGTGGAGATGCACATTTTTGGTCATATAGTGGGGTTTTTTGAGATACATACTTTTGTAAAAATGCAGTAACAAGTCAGAGGCTGAAATTTGGTTTTCCTTGAAGTCTGCTGTAAATGCTGTTAATATCTCTTGGAGCAAGAGCAGGTCCTCTGTAGGCTACTTACTGGTTATATTGATCCTGATAAGCAAGCTTGTATTTCTTAACTATCATAGTATTAAAATGTTTACAATAAAATTTGAGTTGTTTTTAATATTTTGCAGTTATTTCACTAGTTTTTGCTTTGTGTAATTCTTTTTTTTTCATTCATTGTCTTCTTTGATATCTCTTTTGCTTCTGCTTGGGGTGCCACAAAGGTTGGCTGAATTTTTCACTACTGGGATTAACTCTTTTTATATTAGCAGCCTTTTATTTCTTTCAGTACTTTCCAGGCAGCTTTTGTCAGAAATCATCTTGGGGCATGGTCTGGACCTTAACACATTCTGACAATAAAGAATTCTCAGTACTGGTGCTGTTAGTCAAGACCTTTAAGCTGTTGAAGACAGCAGAAATCCAGGACAAGACTTAGGTTTCACTTTTACAGGCAAAGGAACTTCATGCCTACTCAGAATTGTGTGAGATTTTTTTGTCCAGCAGTGGGTATGTTTGTAGCTCCCCTACCTGCCAAAGATTCAGTCATCTTGCTTCTCTCATGAGACAGTTCAAAGAAAAATCTCCCAAACAAGAGCTGCTGAGGGAGCAGCTGCTGCAGCACAAGTCTTTCATGGCTTGTGCCTGCCTACAGAAACTCAGATCCAAGTTAAGCTTTTTCTAGTATTCTACATACACACCTCATGTTTTTATCACATGTCAACAACAGCCTCAGTGGTACTAAGATGGAAAAGAAGGAAGAACTAGAGTTTAGGTGTGTTTTCTCATTTTTAGAGAAAATTATTGCTGATAACATGAAAGTCTGGGAGTAAAATCAGCTATTGTAGCGATCACCTGACAAGTAACTGTCTTCATGGTGTGATGCTGCTTTCGTGGATGTGTTTTCAGCATCTTTTATTCTTTGCAATCACAACATTGTAACTATGAGATGCACACTCTCCTCTGGGGAATTCCAGGTCACAGATTAACAGAAAAGAAAGGTAGGACATCAAGAGCATCTGCTGGCACAGCATCATACCCAGATAGAGGCTGTGAGGAAGGATGCTTTGGATTGCTCTGGATCTGGAGCAACACACCAAGCTATCCTTAGAGATGCCTTTCATTTGGCAGAAAGTTCTAAGACAGACAGTAATAGTATAATGACTTAAAGATCACAGTTTTCTGTCTCAAACACAGTTACCACAGAAAGACTGCCATGAGAAAAGGATAGAATGGAGTGGCAGGATGGCCTAACTCCAAGCCTGCAAGGTCTAGCTCGCACATCCTGGGTAATACAGACAAAAATTCACACCATGACAAAGTGTGTAAAGAAGCTGCTGCTCATAGGTTTATCACTGATCAAACAAAGATCCTGATCAGCAGATTATGGGACAACTGGCATCTGCAACTACCACAGCCCCCCTCCCCCAAAAACAGATACCTGAAACTTGGAATTAAGACACCATGAGGAATACTTGAGACAAGAAAAAAGTGGTACTATTGTTTAACTTTATCTCAGCACACAGTGCTGAAGTCAGCTCAGTAAAAGATAATTCTGGCAGGCAGAGATTGCAGCCACCAACTCACAACCCAGAGGAAGACTGAGCATGGAATTAATTAGAAGTGAGGGAATCATTTAACCAATAGAATAAGAGAACTGTGTAGCCAATGACTATTAATTCCTTTGCTTACAAAAATGTATAAATACTGAAAAGTTTTGAATTACCTCAGAACCCCTGCCACCAAGACAACCTGGGTAAAGAAGGACCAAAAGGACACTGCTGGATCCATAGGTGATGACTATCTTCTGTTTTATCTCTCTTGCTCTCTCTTTTTCTTTTCACTTGCCTTCTCTCTCCCTCTCTCTTTCACTCTCATTTTATTGTTAAATAAAATCCGTACCATTGACTTTGGCATATGGTCTCATTTGCACCTCTAGTTCAGGCCAAGGCTTCTGTCAGTAATAGGATCCTTAACAAACTGTGAGGTGGATTTAAAACTGGCTGAACAGCCAAGCTCATAGTGCTGATTAGTGGCACAAAGTCTACCTGGAGGCAAGTAGCTAGTGGTGTATCCCAGAGAACAAACTTGGGTCCTGTCCTTTTCATCATCTTCATTAATGATCTGGATTTTATGGCAGAGCATACCCTCAGCAAGCTACAGAGGACAAAATAGGAAGAAGTGGATACCAGAGGGTTGTGCTGATGTCCAGTAGAACTTCGACTAGCTAGAGAAATGGGCTGGCAGGAACATCATATTGTTCAATAAGAGTCCCCATGCAGGGGGTCACCCAGTTAGAAAGCAGCTCTACAGAAGAGAACCAGGGGGTCCTGGCAGACTTCCAGTTGGAAATGAGACAGCAGTGCTTCCTTGTATTAGATTAATAAAATTAATTAGTTAAAAATAACTTAATAATAATATTTTTATTTTTCTTCATAATTTTCAAGATTTTCAAACATCTTCTTTGGTTGAAATATTTCTACATTTTCAGTAAGGCAGAAAATGTAGACCTATTTGAAAGTACTTTCTGCCATTACACTCTGGAAGTTTAACCATAAAATATAAGAATGTATAATTGAGGACATCTAACTTTTAACTTGATCACTTGTATCTTTACAGTTTTTTTTATTGTTTAAAAATGTCCCTAAAAGAAGACTGAGGGTATGTATAATCCCATATTTTGGTTTCACTGCAGTTATTTTATTACTGAGAAATCCTACATGACAAACTTCATCTCTGATGAACACTGAAGAAAATGTACTAAATAAGCCAACAAATTTGATCAGAGGAATACTTCTGGACAAGTCTGACACTGGAGAAAAAAAAGCTCAGGGCTTGTTTCTCAAGGAAAGACTCTCATCAGGGCAGAGTTATGTAGGAGAGCAAATGGATTTCTTTGTTCTTTGAGTGACGTTCAGGGCACTCTCTAGTCTCCCCTGGCACTTTGAGGTCCTCGATTGAGCAGGTGACCTATAACGAGTCCTCAAAAGTTACACAGGGCATCTGATGGCGCACATTAATTTTACTTTTCTGCTTCATTAAAAGATTCCCCAATATTCCCAGATTTCTTAAGGTATTTTGGTTCACCTATGACTGCTGGAATCAATCCAAAGAAGACAAGATCATGTGCTGTTATTTTTCATTGCTTTTTGCCCTCTAGGGTTGCTCTTCTATTTCAAACAGTTGGTTTTGCTCAGACATGACATACCCCTCTCCTAAAATTCTGAACTTATACCCAGGTGG